AGGAATAAATATTAACCTATCACGTGGATTTGAAATGTGATTACTATTGATCGGTTTTTAAATGCTAAAGGGTACAACGAATGAAATTTAAATAAACTTTGAAGTTGTATTAAGGGGCAAGTAAATTATTTTACTTCTACTCAAATTGAGGTAATATTGTTTTTGAATATATTAAACTAATTTAAATTCATTAGGGGTGATCATGTATTTGAACAAAGTAAACAATTGTTTTAATGATAGGGCTCAGGAAGAGAAACTTTTAGGGTTAAAATTGTGCCTCAGAGATTGAGTATCCGGTTTTTGAGATATTCAAATTTAATCTCACCTCATAAAGTCAGTTGTCTGGAAGTCCAGTATTTTTGGAAGGCTTTCTTATCACCTCGGCGTCTATACTCAATGTAGAAAGTGTAGTCAACGCCTGGATTTTCAGGTAAATAATTTTTCGACCATAATTATCCTTCAGACATCTCATTTATTTTCCGGTTATTTATCGAGAAAAAATTGCAGAAACACAGTAATCAAAAGTGATTCCTTTTTAATTTTATGAAATTTGACGTGAATTATGCGATTGTCAAACCAGAAAAATAGCACCACTTATGAAAAATGCACAAACCCTATTTTAAAAACCCCTGATCGCTATTGAAAATTGAACATTTTGTGGGAATAATTTTTTAATACTTGAAGAACGGTAAAGGGTGTTTCTCGCTGAAGAAATACGCACATAATTTTCTCTCGAAAGGCCCATATCGATATAATTTTGAAGACACTGTGTATCAGTGTCATACCCTTGTTCAGAGAAGGTTGAATCAACCACGACTGCTGTTTGCCTTGCATATTCAATCTGAAAGAAAGCGTTTTGTTAGACGACGGACCAATCGGTAAACAGGGCTGACCTCACCATATCATGATCTGTCACGATGGTGACGCATGGGTCGCACTATCTACACTGGTGCATTATAACGAACTTGTTGGAGGGCTTTATGACTGGAAAGCGGTAAATCACATTTTAAAAGAATAAAGAGGACATCGAAGTACCTATTTTTTTGGAATTCTAATTGCACCTAATAAATGTTAAGGCAATCTGTGAATTTCGGAATTGCCTCAGGTAACCACTTGCAATTTTTGTGCCACAATCTGCTGGCAAAACAAATTACATGGAATCGTAGAAAGATTCGAGTTCTTAAACTTGAAAGCCATTCAAGACAACATGTCACTCACCCCCCCCCCCTCACCCCACCCCCAAAACGCACTTCACTTTCACATTGTTAATTGTTATTGTTTTACATCTCATGGCACTTTGAATATCAAAATGCCCTCTAAAAGACGACAGAATTTCAATAGTTCTTTCGAATAAGAATTGCCATTTAGTAGTTAGATGGTTTGCGTAGTAATTGATTTAATACTGATTAGTTTCTTTGTTCCTCGTATTCTTTACAGCAACAAGGATAGCACTTGAGCGAAAATCACTTAGAGAGTAATGTTCTCTAAATTATACATAAAGTGCCTACTGTTAAACTTAAGTATTATTAATCTTAAGAATGTTGGCCACAGCCCCCTAACTAATACTTTTCAAGTAATTACAGTTTTTTAAACATTTTGAATTGCATACTTCAAGTTTCGAAACAATTTGCCATTTCTTCGTATTGCTTCCTTGGCTTGATTATGTCGTGTTGTGAGTTATGCTTGTCGTGTCAAGAGTTGAGGTGGATATTCTGAGGGAAATGGCCTACGCTGAACTCCTTAAAAAATTTTGGTGTACATTCTCCCGATTAGATCGTTGAATAATTGCGCTGACAATGTAATATGCACATATATATGTATATGATGTGGACGATAGACTGGACTCGACCTGGTGCCCCATGGGTAACTTATACTCATAAGACGGAGTCTGCGATAGACTTACCACCACGTGGAGCAACCTGGGCAACGTGTACTCATACGGCAAAAAGTCTATTAATCGGCAGTTGACTTCTGACTTCAAACTACCATCACCCCACTGTATGTCATATTCGACCCATTTCACAGTACTCATCTTACCTTTTCTCTGCATTTATGTTTGCCTGTCTCTTTTACATCTTTGAAACACTCTTCTCTCCCCTAATCACGACTTTTTTCACTTTGATGTTCCTTCTCTCTATAAAGCCTGAAATCAACCAAAGGGCTAATGATGACTATCAAAACGCCTGCCATTTGAGATAAATAGGTAAACATTGACCTTGCACCAGATCGTCTATTTAATTAGCTACTCTCTCTCTCTCTCTCTCACGCACACACCTGGATATGTAAGACTACACGTGGAGGAGACGCTACAATTACTGGCTAGCTTAGCAACCAACTGTCAGCATCAGCTGCCCAAGAGAGAACAAGAAAACACTAGGATAATATAATACGATGAATTCAATAATCAATTCTCCAAAACCACAAATTACAAACTGGATTAATGTTTCACATTTTGTGGAGGCCTCTCAAAAGATGATAGTAGGTACTTCGAGAAGGCACATATCCTCTCCTTCCCTCTAACTTCCTGTTCCAGCTGAGGCAGTTGAATAACATGCATATCGTCGTAGAGATCAAGTATTTGTTCAAGATACTTCGACTGAATCCTATGCCGTGCTTTACACATTGTACAGTCGGTTGGCACATCCAATTCCATTAGCGATTTGTCATCTTTATTCTCTAAGTTGGGGAAGAGGAGTTGATTAACAATTATATTGCGGATATCAATCTCCTGTTCAGCTAGAGCTTGGACAAGCCTCTCAGTCTCATACATACTAAGGAATTCCGCGATACAAACACAGACGAAGGTAGTCTGACTGGCATCTTTGAATTGCCGGGTGATCTCTTTGACAATTGGAAGTCTCTCCTCAATAGCTTGGGAGAATTCTTCTGGCGGAAGAACACCACCTTGACCTCCAACACCCAGGAAAGACATCATTTGATTGAGCATCGGGGCGATGGAGTTCTTGATCCTCATAAGTTTGTTCATTCCACTCTCGACTAGTTCAGGGAAAGCGAGGAGACGCAATGTGTGACCAGTGGGTGCGGTGTCAAAGACCACAACAGAGTAATCCAGAGATCGGACAAGACGAAAAACTTCAGTATAAGACATGTACTCGTCAATACCAGGAATGGCATTCATCAAACTTGACATAGTTCTACGAAGATCTGCAGAACGGGAAGCTTCTTCGGAACCTGCTACATCTTCTTCTAATTCCGTGACATTCAAATTGGGATCAATTTCCATGGCGTAGAGATTGGCGAAGCCCTACAGAGATCAAAATCAAATCATAGCCTACATAAATTAGGAAGAGTATGGTATCGAAATAAAAATGAAATGTACTCATGATAGCCACAAAAGCACATGACAATTTTTAAGTTTTGGAATAACAAACTAGAACCACTCTAACAAGGAAAAATCACGGTTTTGTTCACAGAACTCAATGGAAATGCCGATTGAAATAGAGGTCAAAGTTGAAAATAGCACAAGCGTTGGTAGTACATGAAAAAAACCAAGGTAATACTCTACTAGGAGGGAATGCCAATGGGAAATACCGAATAAAAATTCACTACGAGGCCCCTCATAACGCCAAATTCATCAGCATAAAAGATAAAATAAATGATGCATCACTAATCTAGGGAAAAGCGAGATATCAAATAAAAACACAGATATAATTTTTAAAAGTCTTTTTAACCGAATCACAGCCCCCAAGCCCAGTATTCTGTTTGATGAGATGTAAGCTAGGCTCCAAAGAAACTCAAATGTTTCCAACTGGGAAAAATAGCCGAAATCCCACAGAGTCAGTCAACCGTTAAAAGACTAAGATAGATTATTACGACTTGAAATGGCTATAAATCTTCCACAAGTATAATTAGTGAATTTTTGGCTGACTTTTAGAAGAAATGATTAGAATGGTTATTTAATAAAAAATTAAACAGATATCGTAGAGTTAGTGCAGCGGAAGACATTTTCTTATTCAAATTAATAACCATTAACAGCACCATTAAATTAAATAAGAATTAATGATTAGGAAATTTAACAACAAATTAAGATAAGAATTTTCTCCTGGA